AGTCTCCTCTTGGTTTCCTACAGCTTCTTCTTCATCGGCTTCTTCTATGGTTTCGCGCTGAGGTTCAGAAGCTTGATTTACTTCGTCAGCTGAACTCATGAAAGAGCCTTTCGCTGAAGAAGGTCTATAGGTAGGATCTCATTCACTATTCAAGAGAGTGACAGAGTCCTCGACAGGAATAGGAATTCGTTTGGAAGTGCCAGTAGTGTCCTGGAAAATAAAAGGAATTCGTTTCTTTCAGGATCCTCATAAAGTAAAAGGGAGTGGAGGAACATATGATGAGCAGTCGAAGTAAAATACCTGGACTGGAATTTCAACACCAGGACTGGAGTTATCACTTTCGCTAGGATTGTTTAGCCTAGCAATTACCTCATGTTCAGTAGGCTCATTGATGATTACAGGAGGAGGCCTCACAGCTTTAGTCTTAATCTTGATTTTTGGACGGGGTTCGACGGCAGGAGCTGGTTTTTTCAATCTTCGTCTCTGCAAAGGAACAGGAGGAGACTCCTCTTCTTCATCGCTAGAGATTTGGATCTCCTGAACCTTCCGTTTTTTGGGGGTAGGTTTCTGAATATCCAGGAAACCAAGTCGAATAAATTAGTACCTATGTCAGATAAAAAATAAGGGTATGAAAGAAAAGTAAATACCTTGGGAGAGGGGTTGACGGCGGAATCTCCCCCTTTTGTACTCTCAGCAGTTTTCTTCGAGGTGGTTCTCTTGACAGCTAAACAGAAGATAAGAAAACTATAGTTAACTGAGTGTCGAAAGACAAATCTGAGGCGAAGAGATGGAGGAGAATAATACCTTTCTTGACTCTGTCGAGAACCAGCTTAAACGCCTCACGTAGATGGTGGGCGAAGTCCTTCTCATCGAAGAACTCTTCGTCATAATACTGTTTCTACCACTCCTCAAAAGTAACGGAACTCAGAAAATGAAGGTTAAAGTTGAACAGGGTCAGTATAGTTCGACCAGAATACCTACCAATGTGCTTGGTAGCAGCATCTTCCGAGTAGTCTGCATTGTAAAAAAGTAGCAATTTCTCTCGAGGATAAATAGGTGAGGGAAGTGATTGAGCAATACCAAATTGTCGAGAGACAAGATTTGGTTGATAAGCAATTAAGCTCAATTGATTTTTTGAGCTCTTGAATCTCAAGGGCGTGATCCTGGGGCGAAGAAATGATTCCCACATGCTCACGAACTCATCAGTCACGTCATCCTCCTCATTCGAAGGATATTGTCTGGTGAACCATTCCGGACCAACTTTTTGACTGGCAAAGGGAGCCATGGTCGAAACAAAGCTCTTTCGCTCCGCAAACATCATTACGAAGCTTGTGAAAGCCTTCTGAAACTGTTGGCCTTCATCACTGGGAGTTAGCAATGCAAGCCTGGTGCCTTTGACTCTCCTGTTTAGGATTTCAGGAGCCTCTTCGTTAACCTTGTTCTTCTGGGGAAGGAAAGATTCAAAGGTGGCATTGAGCCACAGCTGGAGAAGCCAAAAGGGACCAGATAGCAGCAGGCTCCCCTGTCCCCTATAACCTTAAGTTGAGTTACACCATTACTGATGGACTTATATAGGTTGGCCAAAATCAATTCGGCCAGGCAAAGGGGGTATTTATGGTGAAGCTGTGTCGCGAGCGTCAGCATCTTTTTCGTCACCTGCAGTGACTTAGAACAAAAAACAAAATGAGACAACCACATATCCAAGAAGGCTATATGCTCCACCTCCGACATAGTACTAGAGATTTTGTCATGAAAGTGGTTAATAAAGGTGGTATAAGTGGGTTTTGTAGCAGCAAACCCAATAGCATCCTCAGACAAGTCTTCAGGGTCGAAATAGTCACCAGTCGGTCGAAGACCAGTGATTGCAGCTATGTCGAATAAAGTGGGGGTCATCATCCCATAAGAAAGGTGAAAAGTGAAATGTGAGCTATCCCAAAAGTACAATGAAGATACCAGCATGAGGGGACAGTAAGGCAATCTTGTCTTCGACAGCATCACCAAGTCATAAATGCCCATCTCTTTCCAGACGGAAGCTTGCGCCCTCTACATTTTATTCAACCAGTCTGAATATTCAGAAGAGAGGTTAGGGCTTGTTCGAAACATTCGGTTCCCTTTGTTCATGAACTGGAGGTTGATATCCTCTGTAGTCTGAGGATGCTGCTGGTTAGCCGGAGTAGCGTCTTCAGGGTCCTCCCTAGGTTTCTTCGCGCAACCTATGGGTCTAAGCCTTGGGTGAGTAGGAAAGAAGGCGCGGTTTTTCAAGGAATTTTCGACGCATGAAGATAACGGACTGGACATAGAATACATGTTTCCACCGTATCTAATGGGAATGAGGAGCAGAGAATCATATTCTTCTCGCCATTCTTTCGTCATGGGTTCAACAATATACCTATCAATCGAGGAAGAAGGAGGGTTGGTGGAAAAGACCTCTGGTGGTTTCTGGACATCATTAGCGTTTTTGGGTTGAGGATTGTTTGGTGCATTGGAGAGGAAAGTCATTGTTAAGGGTTTGAGAGAAGACGAAGTTGACAGTACAATGTTGTGAGAAAGCAAGAGATTTGGAAATGCTGGAAATGGTAAAAGTTCCAAATAGAAAGGCTCAGAAGTATTTATAGCCTTCAAAAGAGGGATATGTCTCGTCAAGGCCATTTAATATTTCACAGGTAGTGGACACGTGGCGAAGCGTGAAACGGTTACCGTGCAGGCGTTGGGAAACGTTTTGACATGCTTGCCTAGGTTATAGGAATATGGTCATCATGGCAAGCGTGGTAACGACAGTTTGAAGAGACATTTTGGAGAAAAAAAGTAATGATGGTTTTCTTGAGTGCAACAGCTGTTGGAAGGCGAAAAGCACACATCAAGACTTTGTGGACAATTGGGAAGACAAGTGTCGAATAGGAAGTTCAAAGAATGGTTATTTCTTTTGGCGTCGAAATAGACATTCTTGGGGGGCAATTTGTTGGCTCCCAAATTCGACACTTACTATATTTGGTCTTTTAGACCAAAAAAATGGAAAGAACCAAGCCAAGAAGAATGATTCGACATATGAAATAACTTAGGGGAAAGATCTAAGTTATATTTGAATCTTCGACTAAGGGCTCATCTTCAGGTTCGTTCGACTGAGGAAGACTTATGTCACTCGACTAAGAGAAAACACCATCGCTTTGACACATGATACGAGGACTATTTGAATTTTGAATTATTGGAGGGAAAGGCAGTTTCGCCAGCGTTTAAAAAGAGGCAACGTGGCTGAAAGCCATAGGTCGAGGGATATGCAAGAGACACTTGTCTTCATCCTAGCACAGAATGTTCCCTCAACGGTTACTTATTTTTAGTATAAATTAAGAAACTTGTGTAATTTTTAAGGGGTTCAACCTATTGTACTAAGTCACTCAAACATTATCCAAGTAACCGCTGCGTGAGAAAGGATAAAGCTGAGAAATGTACGTTGGAAACACCTTTTTTCCTTAATGAAAGTCTTTTACATTACTTTACTATTATCTTACAAAGTTATCTCTTTTTCTTTTACTTCTTTTATTTGCATTTCTATACTTCTGCTTACTTTTCAACAATCTCAAACATCCTTTCTCTGGGTCGAACGTGCGTTCTTCCTGCTTATCCATTTTACATAAAAATTAGCATATGTCTTGGGATTAGTTTGATCGATCCCGTAAGTAAACCAAAAAACTTATCTTTTTGGAGATCAGCGGTTGTTCACGAAAAACAACGGTAAACAAGGAGGTACCTGGGATAGTTATCTGTCATTGATAGAGTTCACGTATAACAATAGTTTTCATTCTAGTATTGAGATGGCACCTTTTGAGGCATTATATGGTGGTAGGTCTAGAGCACCTTTATGTTGATATGAATCTGGTGAGAGTGTAGTACTTGGACCTGAGATTGTTTGACAAACTATAGAAAATGTAAATTTAATTTGGGATAAGATGAAGACTCCGCAGAATAGACAAAAGAGTTAAGAGAAGGAAGGATCTTGAGTTTCAAGAAGGAGACTATGTATTCACTACAAGAAAGTTTGCCATTACCCAAGGCCAAAATCCGTCAGTAGCGTGCAAAATTCGTGGGTAAAGATAAATTATCCAGGGTTTAACGATAATTTCAGGACCCTTGGTAAATCACTCCTTGGTAATATTTACCGACGGCCTAAAAAGCCCTAGATATTATTCACGACCATACCCTTAATACAGCGTGGGTAACCATAAGTTTGATAACAAATATTTTGTCTAGCATTACTAATGCATAAGCCGTCGACAATTTTACCCAGGGCCAAAGCCTTCGATAATATTTAATTTTTTATATAAAGTTACCAATGGTTAAGCCGTTAGTAGTATTAATTTTTTTATTGTAAATAAATTTGATTATTTTTCCTGTTTTGGAGAAAGTAACAACAACGCATTAGTAACACATCTTATATTCAATTTTTTATAACCATCATGTACAACAAAGTCTATATTTATCATAAACATTGATCCTTTTGTAATTAACAAAATCCAACATAAAATGAAAATTCAAACTTTAATATCATTCCACACATCTCATAAAAACTACAATTTCAACAAGTTTTACGTAACAAGTCTCAAACAAAACATAAAACATGTTCTTGGAAAACATAATACTTAAATGTCAAAGTAAAACATAATAGAGTCATCATCACTGTCTGAATCATACTTCTCATTATCAGGATGGTGACAACTTCGATCATACTTGATGGAAGCAACACTTTCTGCTAATTTTCTTAATTGTCTCTCCAAATCTCGTGTACGTTTAGTTACCTTGAAACATTCCTCTCATGCAACTCGAGCATCATCCTCTACAGCATTTTCCCTCTTTTCGATTTGTGTAGCAATCTCAGCAGAAACATGACTACTATATGCAGATACATGTGATTGCTCAGTTAATGAAGAAACACCTTGCCTATATTACTTAGACATGTCCCCAGCACCATATAGATGTCCCTTGATCTTTCTTCTAGCAGATTCAACCTAAAAATTTAGCCGAGTTGCAGGGTCAACTTCCTTTGGGCCACTATTAGATGCCTCCCCTATTTGAGAGGCTTGCTTTAGTTTCTCTTGAAATGTTGTTTCCTTCCCAAAAAAGTGTAAAACTTATATACATTACAATATTTATACATCAAAATAAAAAATAATTTTCTTAATTACACTTACATATGTCTTCTTGGATCTGTCATCCACCCATGAGGAGTCCTTTTTTCTATGATTCTTTAAGAAGACCTCAACTAATGTGGGATCTCTACCCACTGCAGCCATTGGTGATTAACTGACATCTCTTTCCATCTAGACAAAGTACAACCTAACTATAAACTGACTTCACTTATAAACTTATGACAAAAGATAAATATTCTTTGAGATTAGAGTCATTTATTAATTGAGAAAAAATTGATTTATCCAAATTATAACAAAACTAAGCATCTATCTCATTTTTCATAAACAAGTAAAATTAAAAAAGTGACTAAATAATAAATTCACTTAATCTATCATGTTAAAATTCAAGTACTTACTGGACAAACTTTACCTTGTTAAATTATATCAACCACACTCACATCAACAAATGAATTATTCAGAAGAAGAAAATCTCATGATTAAGACCATTCATTCATCATTCATCACAAGGACAATTAGTTACTCACCAAATTTTCAGTTAATTAGATTCAAAATAAAAGGGGAGATCCAAGATAAACAAACTTTAAAAATTTATTCATAATTAATAATTATACAATATTCAATGGAACTCTTTCTTGCAATCTAATGTGATAATGTAATACAGAGAAAACTGCTATATAAATGGAAAACACACCAATAATCAATTAAGTTAACATTAACAACACACCAAGAATCAATTAAGTTAATATTAACAAACACCCTTCAACCTCATATGAAGATATGTCAAGAACTTTCAAATTAGCTCAATCAAAATTCAAATAAGCAAATTACTTCCTATTACTAAAACAAATTAAATCCAGAAAATAGTTCTCAACAAAATAGAAGAACTTACCAATTTGGGAAGAGAGAAAGTGTTGAAGACAACCGTGAACGAGAAACTATCGATTGAGAGCGAGAGACATTTTCGGGAGAAATCGAGAAACTTTTCAAGTGAGTCTTTTTGTAGATCGCTAAATTGTATTACTGGGTTGAGCTTTTCAATTTGTTATTTTTTAGGTTTGTTGCTCCTATTATTCATTTCTTTTTTCTTAATTTTTTTCTTCTATTTTTTAAAGTCTAAAGAAAACTTCATATTCTTATGAAGTCTTTTACATTAATTTTGATTATTTAGTAATTTTATTAATATTATTAAAAAATTATGAATGGTGTATTTTTTTGTCTTCATAAAAAAAACGTTTCTTTTTTAATTTCTTCTTTTCGGTTAAAAAGAAACGATAATAGTTTTTAAAGAATTATTTTATATAGATAGGTAACGTAGGTTTTTCCATTACCGAAGGCTTAACTATCGATAGATATTAAAGGCGGTAAATCATGGGTATTTACCCACGGCTTAACCGTGGGTACTTTTTATGAAAGATTTTTTAAACTTCAACATTTATCCATGACTTAACCACGGTTAAACCGTTAATACCTAAATTATTATCGAGGATTATGAGGTAGTGGATAATATTTGTGGGTAATTTTAAGTTTTCTTGTAGTGATTCTTGAGAGTCACACTAATGACCGGTGTTGGACGCGCTTTGAAATCGAGAAAACTTACTCCTCACTATATTGGACCATATCAAATTTCTGAGAAGGTGGAAACTGTTGCATATAGGGTGGCCTTGTCATCTAACTTGTCGAATTTGCATGATGTGTTCCATGTGTCGCAACTCTGAAGGTATATTGTAGATCCAATCTCATGTGATTCCGATGGATGATGTGTAAGTGCGGGATAATCTTACTATTGAGACTATACCAGTGCGAATCATGATCGTGAAATGAAGAAGCTGGGAGGCAAGGAAATTTCTCTCATAAGTAGTTTGGGGAGGAGCTGCCGGAGAGAACGCGACGTGGAAATTGTAGAGTAAGATGCGAGATTCTTACCCAGAGTTGTCTGCATCAGATAATTTTCAAAGACGAAAATATTCTAAGTGGGGGAGATTTGTAACGCCCCAAATATTATATTTTCTATTTAATTACGCTGTTGTGATTTATTTGATTCAATAGATGGTTTGATGGCATGTTGTAGTCTAATGTTGGATTAATAAGATAATTAGAATTATTAATAAATTGGATAATTAGTTATAATTATTTAGATTTATTTTAATAAGTAAATAGGGAAAATATTTGGTGTAGAAGTACTAAGGGCATAACGGTAATGTTGTGTGGAATAAGTGAGGGCGAGAGTGGAACAACCTAATAAGGGTCCAAGGGTTAAGAAGGACATAAAGAAAAAGTGAGGTTGAGAGCGATTATTTTGTATGATCATATTGTGGAAAGAAGAGAAAGCACGAAGGTGAAAAAAGGTTAGGGCAAGAGGAAGCCATTATTGAGGCTTAGGAACCGTCAAGCCAAGGTAAGGGTGGGGATCCAAATCCCTAAGAGTAATGTATAATGATGGGTATGTTAGGGATTGTAATTACCATAATTGTTGTGTACTCTTGTTATGAAGTTCCTTTTGTGTGATTTGAACCCATGTGATGGAAATTAATGAAATATATGATGTTATTTTACCATGATCTGATACTTGTAAAATATGTGATAATGTATTGTTTGATTGTATGATAACATTTTGATTTATGGTGAATTTGAAATTGTTCTGGTATGGATTCATATGCAATTTAGGGCTGGACTGGTGCAGAAATCGCAACTGAAGAGTTGATGTTTCGCATGCATCGTCGGGCGAGCCATTTGTAGTGCCACGTGAAGTGACTTTGTCTGGGAAGCTCCGGGAGAGCCCGAGGCGATAGAAAAAGTAACTTTGAGGTGATTCTGGAAAAATGCATGGGAGGAGGATTTCGCTCCAGCTTCGCCGAGCGAAGTGGTGGCGAGCGCGAGCTCGCTGGACGAGAAAAGAAGCGAAGGAAAGGGTAGAAAAGAGGTGCTCTTGGAAAATGTATGGGGGGATGTTGTGTCGCCCCAGCGTCACTGGGCGAGCCTTAGGCGAGCAGTCAGTATCGCCGGGCAAGCCTCAACCGATCAGTACTACTGGACATTTATAAAGGTCGTAACTTGAGTTTTCGGACTCCGTTTGATGCGTCTTTCAAAGCATTGGAAATATAACGCTATGAAATATATTTTGGTGGAATCAAATTAGTAAAATGATATATGTTTTCAATACTTATAACATGATAAGTTAGATGGTGTGTCAAGCATTGGTTTAGAAATATGTATAATGATAACTTGGTGTTGATACACTAATGATGTATGATATTGTTGAGTTGTATGAATGGTATGTTGCATGTATGAATAGTTGGTGGCCCTAATGGTGTATCACATTGATGGATGTAGATATCAATGTGCTTTATCTTGTTGCATGGTTGTGTCGCATGCATTACAGGTTGTGGACTTTAGTCCTGTTTGTGGGCTCCAATCCTAGATGGCGTAGATTGGGAGCAATATGAACATCATTATTCATGATGTTGGTTGGCTCTCATCCTAGATGGTCTGGATCGGGAGTGAGGTAAACCAAATTGTTCATGATATTGGTGGCTTCTGTCCTAGATGGCGTAGATTCGGGAGCGATATTTGAAGAATGGAAAAACACAAGAAGGGGAGGTTTGAATTGGGGTTTTTAAAACAAAGAAAAGAACACGTTGGTTATCCTGGTTTGTTTGAACTCAAACTACTCCAGTCCATCCGCCAAGGTGATTTCGCCTCTCTCAACGAGGTCTTAATCCACTAATCAAACTTGACTACATGGATAATATGACAACCGTCAAAGCCTTCTTGAGTTTAAACCACAATCTGGTTTTCTCAAGGAAATACACTAACAATATTTAAGAGAGTGTACAAAAAGTGTTTTATAATAAAACAGTATCACACAAGTGATGTTTTACACAATTGAGATTCAGTATGTTTGAAGGAGATGAAGATGACTTGTTTATTGTGCGTAAAATCGTAAATGGTTTCTCCTTCAAGCTTTATTTAAATAGGCAACGCATGGGAAAGCTTTTGGAATGTTGATAAATGATAATTGAAGAGCTTTCCAAAAATAGAGATCATAATCCCCTTTCAGCCGTTACTTTTGAATAGCATTAAGTGAATTGTAACGCTTCAGAACATGCTTGCTTCAGAAGATGAAAGTTACCGTTGCTTCTTTCCAGAATTTTATGGATCAGAAACACGCAGTTCCTATTTGTAGCATTAGAACTTCTTTAAGAGATGTGTAGAATCAGAATTGAAACAACTATCTAACTCATCTTCTGTCCTTCTTCCATCAGAACTTCTCTGCAAAATAAAGTATTTATTTAGGGAGCATAATTGTTCTTTGAGTGTTTGTTATCATCAAAACTCTTACAAGGGTTGTAGAATCAAACTATGTTCTAACAATCTCCCCATTTTTGAAGATGACAAAAACTTGGATATTTCAATAGAAACATAAAGAACATAAAGTATTTAAGGTCTCCCCCTGAGTTGAATACTCAGATAGAGAAGAAATACTTCCCTGAAGATTATTCTAATCAGAGTTTTTGATGCATCCACTTCTGTCCTCAACAGAGTTTGTTCCTGTTTTGCTTTCAGAAAAAAATAATAGAAGTTATGATATTCAAAATGTTTGAGACTACGTCTCGATACTGTTATATTAGAAATATCTTACGCTCTCCCCCTTTTTTGTCAAGAATCAAAAAGCAATAAAAACACTTTAAGCAATAAAAGATGATTTGTATTCAAAAAGATTGCAACAAACACATTCAGAAGGAAACAAATAAAATGAACACAGTAAAGAAAACAAATTTCAAAACTAAGATTGAGGTTGAGGAATTTGTGTGAATAGGGCTTCCAACAAATTCTTAATCTGATTGTTTGACTCTTCTTGTTTTCTAAGCATCCCTTTAATTTCCTTGCACGTATTATCCTGCTTGTCAAGTCTTTCCTTAAACACTGCATTCTCTTTCTTCAACTCTTCCAGAGTTTGCAGCACAAGAGATGAAGAGGGTATATCAACAGAAGGTTCCACCTTTTCAGAGAAAGTTGTGGCTAATTCTGACTCAAGAGCTTCTTCAACTTCCTTTCCTTTGACTAGAACCCTAACAAGAGGCAGAGGACCAAAGGATGGTTCATCATATTCTGAAGTCTTGTGATCTTCCCAAGGATCATTGTCCAATAGAAGAAGTGGTTTCTTTTCCCAGTGACACAGAACTTGATCTTTGAAGACATTCATATAATCGCAGAAGTTATGTTGAGCAATTTCATAACTCAACTACTTATATTTCTGGGATTCATAATTGAACCATTTCCTGGATTGGTTCCAATGTGAATCAGAAGTAGTAGGATTAAGATTCTCTAGGAAAGCTAGCTTCAGAGAGTTAACCCATTCCTGTATTTCTGTTTCAAAAATCAGCAAATTTTTACCAACATCTGCTTTGGTGATTTTTTGTTTTGGTTTTGGTACGACAATTTTTTGGTAGCATGAGACAAGATTGTCCAAAGTTTCTAAGTCTATAACTGTGCGGAGGGGATCTTCTGGATGGTTGTTTGGAGAGGGAGAATCAGAGATAATAATGGGTGAATGTGGTGAGTTTGGCGGAGTGGAATGATAGGGAGATGGAATATTTG